GCAGAACAAACTTTATAACAGCATACCATGGTATCATTTGAACAATTGAAACATTTAGGTGGGCCATCAACTTGCATCATATATAGTATAAGACTGTTGGCCTCAGATGGAAAACAACCACCTAATGAACAAGTAAACAATGCTAAAGATCAGTGGGACACAAAAGTATTTTTCCTTTTCGTGGTACATTGGAGTACTCAAGGCCAACAGTGAGGAACTCTCAAACTAGGGAAGCCTCTCACATTTGGTGCAAGAAAAGGATTCAGCCCATGTTATATAATTGTTGGACAAATACAATCTTACAATCCAGTTTTTCTAGTCTATTTCCATTATTTTTCCCAATTTTAGTCATCCAATGAACTTCGAATTTTTCCCAATTTTAGCCATCCAATGAACTTCAATTTTTTTTTTTTTCATATTATTATATTAAGCTGTTATGGTTTCTACTCTACATTGATCCCAAAATGTCCTCCAGCATGTTAAAATTAGAAAAACAAAAAACACATTTTCAGTGCCCCCGAGTGTCCAAAACGTGTTTGACACCTTTGCAACATGGACTCTACGGCCTGGGAGGGGAGAGCACCTATTCTCCCTCTAAAATCTCATAATTTTGTAACTTCTTCCTTCCATCTTCCCTCGCTACTGAATCATGAAACATCTCAATTACCTGATAAATAAAGACAGTCTTTCAGAGAGTATTGCATCCAAAGAGACTGCTCTGTCTATAAGCCAGCTAGTACCAGAATGGCAATCCAAGGAAATGAATTACACAAATTAACACAACAAATTCATATCCATAGACATACCCCAGATGTAATTTTTTAAATATTATAATCACCCCAACAGAAGACCCCAAAAGGCAGTAAATCTGGGAGAAAAACAAACCATTATCAAGCTGTATCACATCTCATACATTGCCCTTGATCAATAATAATCAGCCTTCCAATGCATATGAAGGAACCTTGAATAAATTAGCTAATTGTTAGTAAGATTAATATATAATATAGAATAAGAGCAACTTTAATCACAGTAACTTGATCATTCACAATACAATATTGAGACTGGCCAGCAGTACGGTGGTTACATCAGGTAAAGGACAACATCCTGATGAACTTGCGAGAAAGAATATTGGATGTTGGTGCACGTAAGGTACACAACAGTGGATTAGGAATATGATGGAACCAGATTGTTATTCTCTAAGTATGTTCAACAGGCATGCCAATCTCAAAAAGTTTAATAATCAAATGTTTCATCAATTCTTAACCATTTCTCAGGCTGTATTAAATGTAGATCCAAGTATCTACAATCATAAAGGAGCAATATCTATTTCTAAAGGAGTTTCAGTCCGGTAAAATCTGAAACATATAAGCAAAGCTTATCTCGTAACACAACAAGCGATGAGATATCTCCAATGGCCATAAATTAGAATCACTTCTGGCATATTAAAAAGAACAAAGATGTTTCACTAAAATTATGCAAATATAACTTTTCTGTGACAGTTCAACGGAGCAAATGCCTAGATATAGTAAGATTCTTTTGACCAGGGAAAGACTGCTTGATTATCAGTTTCTCAATATGCTATAGTAAACTATGGACTTGTAATTATTGCATCCTTACTTAGCATCACTACACTGATCAGGGATATGCATGAAAAACATATTCTGCGAGCTTATTGCAAGCACAAATCCTTTATTCAATTCGGCTTAGAAGTAAATTCCCCACACAACATACATTTAAAAATAGCTTGAGCGACAGAAAAGAAGCAAATGAAAATAAATGCATGCCTTCTTATACCTCAAACATGTTTTCATCTGGTAAACAAGATCCTTCATGTTTAAAGCTACGAGAAAGATCACAACGAAGAATCCTCAACTTTCCTTCCTGCAGTATTTAGAATTTAGAAGAAATCCATAGAGTACATGATCAAACTAGAGATTCTTGACACAATTTTGTTGTTTACCTTGGTTCCATATACAAGTCCACCCCCTGCTGAAGGATGGAAGCAAGCAACATTGACCTCATCCTCTGCACTGGGAAGAACTCTCACAAGTTTCATATCAGAAACTCTGTAAATCTGAGAGATAAAAACAACTCTGAGAGGAGTAATCAAGACACCGATAAATAACAATAGCTTCAGAGATTATTCAGTGTGCTCTAGTCCTGTGTGTACTTCGTATATCTCCACATCACGAAACAAAAGGATTTGAGAAGAAGAATATACAGATAACCATCACTTGAAGAAGGTAACAATTTCTGGTGAATATATTGTTGAACATAGAGTCTCCTGATTGATCACGCAATTAGTACAGACAAAGTCTACCATCACACATTGCTACACAAATCTTAGTATTCAACGTCAACAATATCATATTCTTAGTTAAGCACTCAATTTCAACAAAGATCACTTCCCTTTGGATAACACAACGGTTGCTAAAGATGATTAAGGGGTAAAATAATGGCTCAAGAACACCTAGTCATAGAATTTAAAATAGAAGATCTTGGGAGAGTGAAGTACTTCTTGGACATTGAAGTGGCTCATTCAAAGGGTAGTAAATTCATATCATGGTAGATATATGTTCTTGATTTGGCAAATGCCAAAATGTGAGCATTCAACAATTCCATTAAACAGAATCACAAACTTGTGATGTTGAGGAGACAATTGACATATGTATTGAAGGGCACAGGCTAGTTGAAAAACTGATTTACTTATCCCGTAGCACACTGGATATAGCCTATGGGATGAGTGCTATAACTCATGAGTCAATTTATGCATTCCAACAAGCAAGTCGTGCACAGGTAGATTTCAGAACCATGGCACAAGAAATATGTGAGCTTCCTCGTAAGGATTATTCTAGATGATCGAAGTCAAACCGGAAGGAAAAATGTTGTAATATGACAACATGTCAATTATCAATATTCAGACGATTGTGCCTAGCTAAAGAGTACAAACCATGTGGCAGTTGACATACACTTAATCAAAGAAAAGTTCGACAATGGCTTGACATACACTCCATATGTTAAAATGGACGCACAACAGACAGAAATCTTGGCTAAACGGCTTCCAATGCGAGCATTCCAAATTATCACAAGCAAGATTGTCGATGGACAATATATTTTCTCCAAATTGCTGGGGAGCGTTTACACATCAGAATCCCCTAGGAATAGGGAAGGTCAAAGGTTGATTGTCAGTTGTGGATCAATTTTAGGAAATTATAATCCCTATAAAAAAGGGAAGTCAAAGACTGATTGTTAGCTACTTTCAAATTTAGCCCTTATTTGATAATTGTTAAGACAAAACTCTTTTTTTCTCAAACTCAGTTTCAACCACACATTCTCAATATGAAATATTTTGTGCGTGAATCCAAATTTTTTTCTACATTTTAACCACACATTCTTCAAAAATTAATTAGTCCACAACTCATTTTCCCAAAAAAAAAAAAAAAACTCCTTTTAATGGTTGTCAAAGAAGGGCTTAGAGAAGTACTAATTTCTTCCTATTTTTCCCTTGTAATTTGGAAGTTACATACTTTTCTTTTCCTGTTATATACAAACATCTATAAGATTGCGCAAATTCAATATCCGAAAGATATAATTCAATGTCCAAAGACAAATTTGGGAATTTCCAAATACAAACACTTAGTTACTTAGATGTTATATTATAGAATACAAATTTCAAAAATGTCTTATTGATTTAAGATGAAATGTCTCATGTCAGTTCCCATGTTTGTTAAGGAGAAAACCAGACGGCTTTCTACAAGTTTTAATAGCAAGGTGAACTATTTTCTACCTTCCAAATGATTGTTTAACAAACACGTTTTCTTTTTTAGCATTCTGCTAGAATCAATAGAAAATGATATGAAGGATGTGGGATCAGCGCAAAAATTGCAAATCCAAGTTAATCATAAGATAGAATAACCAAAATGTATAATAGAGTCCCTCTAAACTGACACACAGGGTGAGAGAGATAATAAACATTGCAAAGCAGCATAGTAGAGTTTATAACTAATATCTCACCTATGATACACCATACACGGACACGTGTATCCAATACAATACGTGTCGAACAAGCAGATACACAATTTTTCGAAAAAAAAAGTTTTGACACATTATGTTGCCAACATGTTGATTTAATTTTTTAAAATTCTTCATTTATGTAGTATAAATTTTCTTTTATACTAATTATTAATTTTTTCTTGTTAAAATCTTTTAAAAATAAGTACCTATTTGTTATTTATTAATAATTTTGATTTTAAAATATATAATATTATTTATAAAGAAAAAAAATGATTATGATAGAGTATCCGATGAGTGTCGACATTCGATGTGTCCAACACGGAGTATCCGAGGAGTGTCGATATTTGATACATGTCCGATACAAACACACCACCCTAATTGAAGTGACCGTGTAAAATAGTACTCACCTCCAGAATGGTGTAAATGGGAATTGTTGCATCTCCATCAATCACGACACTTTTAAGAAGTGAACTATGACGGCGACCATAGGCAAGTAACAGGTGCTCCGAGGTAGGGGAGAACTGCAATTATAAATACATCTAAAAAGTTAAGAAAAATTATCTTGCATTTTACAGAGAATATAAGGATAGCTACCATCATCCAAATGTAAAAATTTCTCAAGTTCAACATATGATTTTTGAAATCACATTGGTGTTAAGCCCCTAATCTCAATAATAAATCTAACCTGTATTGAAGTTAAACAGTGAGCGGCTCTGATTGCCCGTGAGGCTAGAACCAAGCCAAATCTACACAATTAAAACATAATCAGTTCAAAGTGATAAATACCATCAGAATGGAGTAATCATGGAACATACTGGCAGTATATTAGAAGTTTGGGACTTACGTAGCCTCCTCAAGAGAATATGTCCTTAACTCATACATAACTTGGTGGGCAGAAATTGGATGTCTTGTTGGAGATGTCGAGCCCCCTGCAACATCATGCTGAACCTGTGCTTGGAAACCTGGATCAGCTTCCATGTTTGGCAGGGTACAAGCCACACAGACTGCTAAAAATCTTCCACATGGTGAAAAATGGGCTCCCATTTCACTGTAATATACATCTTGCATATAAGCAATTGGTAGACATAGAAATGAACCGACCATAATGGTAGAAAATGATTCCAGTAGTTGACCTCTAATTGACCAGGAAGAAGGCTTCTTCTAAAAAAAAAATCCCTTTCTGGTTTTGTGTAAGCATTTGGAGGGAACTCAACACCCACACCCACACCCACACACAGAGGGTTGAAATTTTGGAGGGATTTAGCTCATGAACTGTGGAAACTTCTCAGTAACATCACAATTAGAAATTCTGAGATTCATTAGCCACTTTCTTAATAGCAAATGAATCAATTTTTTTTTTTTTTTTTTAAACTCGTTGTCAATTGCTTCCTTAAAATGAGCAACAATGTTCAAAAAGACAAACAGGAAACAATTTACATACCTACAAAGTACAGCATGAGGAATCGTTAAGCGACATCTTTCATCATCGAGAGATGCACAAGGATTTTTCACATCGTGAGACCATATTCTAAGCTTCACAGTGCAAGGTAACTCAGCAGATGGACTTGCAGCCAGTGAAGTGGCTAGTTCAGAATGGACTTGGTTCATGTAAGATTGAGAACTGCTCTGATCATGCCGAATACTGTTACGAGTAGCACCATTTCCAGGACCAGTTGCTGGTATTGTGCCAGAGCGTGAAGATCGGTGCTGTGAACCAGATCTTCCTGCACTTCTTGAATTACCAACAGTATTCTGAATAACTGGGGGAACCATTGACGATGGATTCCCTATTTCTCCATAGGCAGGCAAACCTTCAGTAGAACCTTCATCTTGTCCATGCATTGAACGTTGGCCAGCTTGGCTTTGACCAATCAGCCACCCTTGCAAGAAGGGAAGTTCCCAGTATGCTGGATCACAGAAAGGAAAATACTGATTGCCTCTGTCTTCAGGTTGCACATCTGTTTCCATTGGATCCACAGCAGGCTGAGAAACAGTATTTCCTATTTCTGCTGTTACAGAATTAGTTTGCGACTCTTCTCGCACAGGAGAACTACCAGATTCAATTGGAGACAGTACTAGTTCATACTGTCCCGATGGAGTTGAATATGTGAGAAGCCGCACAGAGGCAGAAGAATCCACCCTCTGTTGTGAAACACCAGAGCTTGTGTCAACTTCAGTCTGCTGAGTAGGTAGTCTTCCATCACCTCGGCCAATTGTAAGCCACATTAAAAATGGCATAGGCATGATGGGTAGCTCATTTCCCAGGTTAGATCGATAAGCCGAGTAAGTATCTGCCAAATATATGGTTGGGGGAGGGTAGTGCAAGTACCCAGGGGAAGTTGCAAGAGTCATTGAAGAGTCTGATGAGTCAAGATCATTGACCTGCAATGACAAACACTATCAAACTCATGCACAGAAAAAGAAAATATTTAGCAACACCACAAGCCGTACCTCAGCAGTTAGAAGAAATGGGGCAGCATGAGGGTGGAAATGCACTGCTCGGAGTGATCGGCGTGTCTTAAGTATAATAGTTGGTGTGGAAGCCTCTCCTCTCCTGTTGTAGTGCCACATGTAGAGCTGTCACATTACAAGGTCAACAACAATGAAGCCCGTCCAAAATTAAACAAACAGCAATTCATGTTTGAAATTTCTAACCTTGTGGCCTGAAGCTACAGCTAAAATTTCCCCTTGGGCATGAAAGGCGATAGAAGCTATAGGACGGTCTGCAGGAAGAAAAATTCAGCACAACCACATTAAGGAATTTGAAATGACAAAATAGTTATATAATTATTGCTGGAACTCTGAATATTAGAAGATATTACAAAAATCACGTGATCCTATACACTCTGCTGTTTTTGCATCCCACAAGCGAACTTCGTGGTCTAAACTTCCACTTGCAAGAACTTCAGGATACAGCGGGTGGAACCTAACCTGCAGAAGTTCCATAGACATCGTAGAATAACCAAGAAAGAATGGAACGCTGAAAACATTTACAGTTTAAGCTTGGAAAATAGTGCAACAAAAATACGACATTATTAAATACAATATCTATTGCCAGATGCTGATCGCACAATTTTAGTAGAGGCCTGACATCATGTGACACGTTCTCTATCGACAATGAGGTACATATTTAACAAATATATTGTCTACAAGAATAAGAGTAAGGGATAAAAATTTATTCACGTGGTGAAACTTTTTTTTTTTTATATATAGGTAATCAAATAATTTTATTAATAAAAGAAGAATACACAGAAAATGTATTATCAACTTAAACAAGAGAAAAGGACATGAAATTAGTCAGCCCCTCTATAGGATTACTAGTTCCGGCATTAGACCAACTATACAAAATCATATAAAAGAATTCTCTAAGTTGCCATGTGATCCGTGCTTGGTCTTCAAAATATCGGTTGTTCCTTTCTCTTCACACACACACACCCCATATAATGCATCCCGAGATAAGATTCCATACAAGCTTGTCATCCTAAAAAATAATGAGCGTGCGTTGCTATATTCTTTTTTTTTTTTAAATCCAAATCCACTTCCGACTTGCCTTATTATATTATAGTTTAAGCTCCTCTCCTCCTCTTTTTCCTCATCCTCTATCTTTATTTCTTTATCGATAGAAGTCAAAACATGCTACCACAAAATGGCTACCAAATTGTGTATCGTAGCATTTCATTTCTTCAATATATTACCAAAAATGATATAAAAGATATCAGAAGACAGCCGTACCACCCAAGGTGTCCTCCGATGACCACTCAACACCTTCAAACATTTTACGGTGTGGCAATCAATTATCTTTACAGTATGGTCTCCACTGCCAACATAAAAATAGAATAAACTTCTTAAACGTCCAACTGAAAACAACTAATCAGTGTCCATCTAAATGAATTTGCTTATGTGGATTAAGAGAGAGAGTGAGACTTACTGCGTAGAAGCAAGTGTCCTCCCATCAGGACTGAAGGCTGCTGCAATAGTTGACCTGGGGAGAGGACTAAAGGCCGCTACAATGGTTGACCTGGGGGGAGGCAAGAGTGGGCAATACTTGGCTGCTAAATGTAGCAATGACTCTGCCTCTACCCTGGAATATGTCAATTAACAGATTCCAGACATTAATTAGCATGGAGAAAAAAGGGCCATCCACAAATTACAAAATAGCACCAGAGAACAAGACAGATACCATGAAAGAAGCTCTTCTCTTGCATCTATCGCTGATTCACGTTTTAATCCAGAGGAATTAGAACCACGACTTGAAGCCTCACCCCAATACCTCTTGGGACATCGCTTTGTTCGAGGAGATACCTCCCTCCGAGCTAACAGGTGAAATACATTTCTACAAGTGGCACATAGCATATCAATCCGAATCAGCAAATATCCACACAAATAAATGCAGAGTTGTTAAAGTTCGGTTTATGCAAAATGAAAGATAAATCAAAAATATTTTTCAAAGAAAATAATAAATGTGAAGCAACTGTGCAGACGAAAATTAATTGTACATAAGCAACAAATTGTTACGAGAGGATCATCTATAAGCCCACATAAGACAACATTTACTGCAGCTAAAATACAATAAAAGAAATGCATAAATGATGAAAAGAGACTGGTTAAAGTTTTAGTGCTTTCATACACAGTGGTAAAAAGGTCTGTATAAGCTTACCCATGAAAAGAAATAAAAGAAAAGGACTAAAAAAGAATAAAAAAATTGAATGCAGAACAGTTAAGGCTTCAAATCCAGGAACAATCGTTGGGCAGAGTCAAAATTGTAAGCATGTAAAAGAATCACCAAATCCACAAAAAAATGTTGTTCCTAATGCCGCCAGACCCTAACCTCTTGCCACCAAATTATTGAAAATTTAATTCAAATTTCACCTAGTGACATACATGCTCGTACACGCTCGGTTAGACATAAGACCAGTACCAGAGACAGACCCACTGGCCCCCAATGAAATTTGAGGGGGAAAAAAAAGTTTAATGAGTTTTTAATCATTTTTTGGTTTTTATTTCAAATATTATTATGTTTTATGTTTTTTTTTTTTTTAAAAAAATCCGTCCTCAAGATCTGAGTCCTGTTTCAGCCACCATAAGATTGATACATACAAGTGAATTTTGAAGGCCACCAACAATTCTCAAAATCATTAATTTTCCAACGGCAGACCACATTTTATTGTCCATTTCATATTAAACTACAACATAAATCATATAATTAATCCATAAATCTTAGCAAAAACCTGAAAAAGAAACATGAGAACTCTGAAACTAGCTACGGAATCCCCATTAAAGCACGCAATTTGACTCAATGGATCAATATATGGAATTGAACCCGGATTGCGCAGGAGCTCATTAGAACCCCAAAATTGAGCTAACAAATAACTAAATTACTCGCAAATAGTCAAATTCCAGATCCTTTCATCATCAAAACGTAAAAATCAAGGTAAACGTAGGGTTCAAATTTTAACCTTTGTCTTAAATTCTGGTGGTGAGCCCGGGCGGAGGCATGAGACGTCAGCTGCGGCAACTGCAATGGCTGAAAATTCGACGATGACGATTGAGCGGCGGCAGTGGTATTCTCCGTCCAAACCGACGATAGCGTCATAATTAAATTCCAGTTACAATAAAATAAATATTTATTCAATTAGGAAATTTATTTCTGGCATCCCTAAATTTAGATTAAAATGGGCAAATTTGGGTTATAAAGACGCGAGATCGGCTGAATTACTTTGCCAACGCCCCAGGACTATGAATAAATTACAAAGAAGATGTCGGGGTGGAAATATTAGAGACGGGGGCAAAATGGGAAAGATAGGAGAATGCAGGGCATGGGGGTGTACAATGTTACATTTCATGCCAACGTGATTAGATTGTTCGAGCCCATTATAATTAAGGCCTGATTGGTACACATTATTTTTTTTATTCTCATTCTTCTACTCATTTTCAACCACACATTCTTCAATAAAATAATATTTTCCATCAAATCAATAACTTTTCCTTTATTTTTAACCATACATTCTCCATCAATTTATTATTCAATAATACATTCTTTCAAAAAAATGTGTCCCAAACACACGCTAAATAATGCATTTTGAAATAGACGACTGATAAATAATATGTGATTAAAAATAAGAAAAAAATTTGAATTTGTATGTAATATTATTTTATTAAAAAATGCATGTTTGAAAAAAAGAGAGAAAAAATGTTTCATAATAATTTTTTTTGATACACTACATTTTAATTGCAGTTAAATTTCTCAATCTTTATTCATTTTAGCAATTATTTCATTAAGTTTTTTTCATCGAATTTTTATTTTTAACATTCCAATTAGTAAGTCTAGTCCTTAATTATGATTTATGGGCTATGTTATTTTTGAGGTAATATTAGTGTGCCGAATGTTGAAGATTAACGGGAGATATATGCGCACTAAATAGAACTAAGTAGAAGAAAATGACTGGACAACTGAAGACAAAGTTAATGCTACTATGAAGTAAGAATTCAACGAGTCATATATATATTCTACGTATAGAAATAAATAGAAGAACATGACTAGACAACTGAAGACAAAGTTAATGCTACTATGAAGTAAGAATTCAACGAGTCATATATATACTCTACGTATGCAAATGTTTAATAGAAAATAGAACAACTATACTGTAGAATGACTCAACTTGCATGTTTTGCATACTCATAATTTTCAAGCAGCATCTTGCCACCTTTTCTTTTTTTTTTTTTTTTTGAAGTTGGCCAACCTTTCTTATTTAAAGCTGATGCTGAAAACTGTTGAATTAATAAGCATCTCATTACCTGTCAATGAAAAAGATCTTACGAAAGAAGTTAGCCAAGCGTGCATGAAATACGAATACACAAAGAAAGCTTCGATTTTGGAAGAGCTCATAAATATAGTAATACAAGTCCTCATTGGTTAGCTGCCCATTGGGGCTTACGTTTCCAAATTTGTTCTACAATAAGTAAAATAATCTCGACTCAAGATTGAGTAACTGAGAGTATCTTTTGGTGACTGGGAAGTATGATCCAAGGAAGAATGTGAAGGTTGATATCCCATTTCGTATATTTCATCTAAGTTTAGTAAGTTGTTC